TATATATAAGTGATTTATTATTATTATTATTATTATTATTAGGGCTTCATGTTAATGTTAATTTAATGTTTATGCTAAAAAAAAGTGCATATAGCTGCTAATTGTATTTGTTGTTTGTTGATTTTCAAATATAAAACTTATTGAAATGTTTTCAGTGTGTGTATCAGTTCTTTTTGAACATTTTCTTCTAAATTTAACAAACCGTGATAGTATTGATAATCGTGATAACTTTGGTCACTATAATCGTGATATGAAATTTTCATACCGTTACATCCCTAGCACTGACCACAAGGCTATATCTCCAATCCTAAAAAACTTTTTAATATGATTTTTTTAGGCATAATATTTGTTCAAACAACTCACCTCTAGGTAATTTTGAATGTATGTAGCTTTGTACAACCCTAGTATGAATCAATTGAAGAGAAATGGAGCTCATTTGTGATTTGTGGCCTCACTGCATTGACCACTCACATTGACCTCATTTCCTCTTACATTCTTAGAAACAGAAGCCCATCAGCATCCAGGGACCCCAACGCGGCATATAACCAAAGGGAGGGGGAAGGAGGACTGCAGTATGCCCCGGCTGAAGGTGGCATGCCCCGCTCTCCGTCCGACTACGGACGTGACCCTGGCCGTTCGCCGAGGAGTTCAAGAATGTACAATGAGGTGGGCGGTTATCAAGACAGTCGAGGACGCTGGCACTCTCAAGGCCAGCGTTTGGATGGCCAGCTAGAAGACTATGACCTCCAAAGACGCCGTGAGGAGGAATACCAGGCCCGATACCGCAGCGACCCCAACCTGGCGCGCTACCCAGTCAAACCCCAGCCCTACGAGGAGCAGATGCGCATCCATGCCCAGGTGTCACGGGCTCGGCACGAGCGGCGCCATAGCGACGTCTCACTTGCCTATACAGAACTGGACGAGCCTCTGCATGACCCCGGTGGGCGGCAGTCACGCCTCCCTCTGTTGGGAGGCCCAAGTCAACGCTCGTACTCCATGGACAGGAGCTCACCGGGACATCGGATGACGAATCATAGCCCACCAACACCACACCGCAGCCCTGTGCTGGGTGATAGCCGCCGAGGACTGGCAGAGCCAACGAGGAAACCCATACCCCCACAGCACCACTTGGACCCTAGCTCAGCTATGCGCAGGAACAAACAGGACAAAATGGATAGCATGCTACGAAACGACTCTCTAAGCTCAGACCAATCCGAGTCGGTTCGGCCTCCTCCACCTCGACCACACCGCAGCAAATGCCTTGGCAAGCTCAGAACCATGGGCAGCTTCAGCAGCTCAGAGGAGGAGTTGGCCACCACGCCAGAGTACACCAGCTGTGAGGATGTGGAGCTGGAGAGCGAGTCCATCAGCGAAAAAGGTAAACTGCTGACTGTGAATTAAATTATTGAATTGCTGATTGATAAAAGTTGCAGTGTTTTAGGGAGAAAAGTTACATGAAACGTTTTTGGAATCTCCGATGTGACTCCAGTCATATCAGTTTCCTAGAAAGAGCTGTGCCTTCATGGTAACCACCATGTTGCTCCAGAGCTGGTGGGGACAGCAGAGACTTCAGTGCTGTTGTATTGATTATTTAGAGCCAGTGAAACATAAACATAATCATTACTTACTCCATCCGAAATTGTATACTCCTTTTTCGAAAAAGTAACTACTTTGCGACTGTTAAAAAGTATGTTCTATATAGTATGAATTTGTGTAGCATGAATATAATCCACTCGGCATGTTGTCATTGTCATGTGACCTACCACCAGCATCACCTCCTGTGGCCTCACGGGATAGGAAAGTGTCCATCATATACGCACTTTAGAATCTCGCCGGAAGCATTAAGTCATCTGGGGAATTTGCATCCACTGTTTTGTGAATTCGCACATACTACTATTTTCTAATAATGTTATTTATCTACTATATAGTAGGGAAGTATGCTATTTTGGATTCAGCCTTTGTGCACTTTATAAACACCAGCCAGATGAATCTTGTGGTTTGACATCCTAGATCAGGGGTCTCCAACCCTGATCCTGGAGCGCTACCTTCCTGCAGACTTCAGTTCCAACCCTGCTTCAACACAACTGCCTGTCATTTTTCAGTAACCCTGAACACCTTGATTAGCTGGTTCAGGTGTGTTTGATTGGGGTTGTAGCTGAACTCTGCAGGAAGGTAGCTCTCCAGGAGCAGGGTTGGAGACCCATGTCCTAGATGACTTTGGTTACTCCTTTATTGGTTCTTCTCGATTCTCCCTCTTAAAGGATAGTTCACCCAAAAATGAAAATTCTGTCATCAATTGCTCACTCTCATGTCGTTCCAAACCCGTAAGACCTTCGTTCATCTTCGGAATGACATGAGGGTGGCTTACAGGTTTGGAACAACATGGAACAATGACTGAATTTTCATTTTTAGGGTGAACTAACCCTTTAAATAAGAGAGTTAGCTTTGGCAGAGCAGAACATGTTGATGGTGAGGTTAGAGCAGGAGTGTCAAACTCAGTTTCTGGAGGGTCGGAGCCCGGCAGAGTTTAGTTCCAACCCTGCTCCAACACACATACCATGTAGTTTTCAAATATGCCTGAAGGACTTGATTAGCTTCATCATGTGTGTTTAATTAGGGTTGAAGCTAAACTCTGCAGGGCTGTGGCCCTCCAGGAACTGAGTTTGACACCCCCGGGTTAGAGTTATGATGCTGTGGGTTATGATGTCATCTTACTGAGTCTGCCTTAAATACAGATTTGCAGAGGCTCTTTTAATTAAGAGAGCATAGTGATAACATTTGTTGAAGAATTGTTGCATTTTTTTTTTCAGTTCTGTTTGATGCCAACTGCATTATAGAATTAATCGTTGTTAAAAGCCCACTGTTGAATATTAACCATTAACCATTGTGATTGTAAAATTTCTGCTTGTAACAGTAATACCTGAGTTAATATTCTCAACACAATCAGATGAGACGTCAAAAGATGAGAAGATGAAGTTCAAAGACTTGCAAGGTTGTTACATTGATCTCAGATTCAGTAAAAGTGCCAGTTCTCTTGGTAATTCTGTTTTAGTTTTAGTCTCTGTGCTTTGGGGTTCTTGAGATCAGTTGTAACATGTCATTTATTCTGTGACCTTTCACCTCTAAATTCAGTTTAAAACTGCACTTAAGACAAAGGAGAATCCAGTGATCCTGGCAATTACTTGTGTGAGTCACATGACCAGGGTTTTAAACCATGGAGGGTGTTTCATTATTCAGGCAGGTTTAATTATGTAATGCAAGCCGGGCTGAAGATGCTAGAATGTGAATGGGGACACAGGTCATACATTGTTATTCACTGTTAAATTGATTCCTGTTATCCTGTTAGAATATGAATTTCTATAGCTTTTGCTGTTGGACATTTAAAATGAGTATATTACTATGACCTCAACTGGCCTGATGATGTTATGCTCTGTAGGTCTTTCAAATAACTATGGATGAACTTGGATGCACTTGTTGGTTGGAAAAGATGTCCGTGCTGGAAAAGTCTTGACATGTATTATAGCTAAAATGATTCTTAGCATCTTTAAGATGTCAGAGAATTAAAATGTATCATCAAATTGCCTTTTTCAGCCATGCCAATGTTTCTTCATTAGTTGTACAGCCAGGATTTTCAAACCGAATCTCCCAAGCTCTGCACATTTTAAATGTCTTCTTTATTTAACACACCTGAATTAACTGAGTAGTAGAGTACTCCATGGCCTGAACTGGATCTGTCAAAAAAAAAGAGATATTCAAATTGGGCAGCACTTAAAGGGGTCATGAACTGAGAAATCAAAATTCCCTTGATCTTTTGACATATAAGAGGTCATTGTACTATAAAAACATTCTGTAAGTTTCAGAATAGAGGTCTGCGCGGGACTGTTTTTTTAGTCCCGCTCCCGCAAGGTTCTATTCCGCACCCACCCGCTCCCGCTATATAGTCACTCTTTGTTCACCCGCTGTCCGCTTAGAATAATTTTCTTCCCAACCCAACCCAACCCTTCCCGCTAAATTTAGATCTCGGGCCCTATTTTAACGATCTAAGCGCATGGTCTAAAGCGCACGATGCAGGTGCACTCAGGGCGTGTCCGAATCCACTTTTGCTAGTTTAACGACGGGAAAACGGGCGCATGGTCTAAACGGGTTGTCCCTATTCTCTTAATGAGTAATGGGTGTTTTTATGTTATTTTATTCGTCTTGTCAAGAGTCTTGACTTTATTGACTTTGACTTGAATTTATATGAATTATCTTAAGACACAAAATTCGTTTAATATTTTATGCAACACAGTAGGAAAAAAAGTGTCAGAGAAAATAAAAATGTTGTACAAAAATTGTATTTCTTATTTTTATTCGTCTTGTCAGGATACAATTCGTTTAACATTGACAACACAATAGGAAAAAAGTGTCTGAGCGCAAGCTGTACCGGTGGTCAATAAGAATAAAGCGCAGATATGCTGTTCTAAATGGACGTCGGGAACGGGATATTGTTAGATCGCCCACTCCCGTTCAAATTACTCCAGAGTTACCAAACGCTACCGCGTTTTATTCAGGAATTTAATCCCGTGGCGCAAAAAATCCAGTCGGGTCCCGCGTTTCCTGTGGGAGAGCCGCGGGAATGCAGACCTCTATTTCAGAACTCAAAACTTTCTCTTTAGTCTAAAAACAACTTATATTGAAGCTGATCTGCCAAAACGACAGCTTGTGGAATGTGCCACTCTATGAAGTAATAGTGTGGCTAAACCCCACCTCCGCAGAAGTAGATAAATGTCTGCTTCTACATCACTACCTGTTTAGCTCCGCCCACCGATTCACGCATGCAGTGTAAATAACGAGAGAGGCAAACGCAGGTCTACACAGAAACCAAATGATAAAAATGCTCTGAAGACAACAAGACGCTGTGCAGTGCCAAGATGTGGACAAACACAGTCTTTACTTCGCCTTCCTTCTGATCCCAACATTAGGAAAGAGTGGATGAACTTTATTTTTAATGAAGTTCCAGATCGTGTTAGTAAGAACTTGTTCCTTTGTTCACTTAATTTTACCGCGTAATCATCTACAAACAAGGCACAATTTTACGCAGGATTTTCAGAAAGATTGAAACTAAAAGACGATGCTGTGCCGACTGTATTGGATCCTACAGTAATGTCGCACCACACAAGTGTGAGTAACTGTTTTTATTATGTGATCACTATTGCTTTGCCTGTTATTACAGATAGTTTGATATGTAGTATTTATGATATGAGTATTTATGTGTTTTTAACTTAAATCACAGCAGCATTCATCTATGAAGGCTGTAGGCTGTCAAACATACACAACTGTTAGCCAATCATAGCAGTGGGCGTTTACTTCCGAGTCTACAATCCGCCACGCCTATGCAAACAGAGCGTTTCGATGAGGGGGATCAAAACAGGACAGAAAATAGCCTATTACTTCTAAATTATGATGTTTTTTGATGTCAAAAAATGTATAACATCATAAGTGGACCTCAGAGAACAGTACATAATAATAAAAAGGCAGTTCATGACCCCTTTAAAAACACCTGGCGTACAGAAAAATACTTTTGACTGTAAGGTGCTTAGATCTGGGGTAGCCAAACCTGTTCCACCATCCTGCATAGTTTAGCTCCAACCCTAATTAAACACACCCGCACCAGCTAATCAAGGTCTTCACACTCACTAGAAACTTCTAAGAAAGTGTGTTGGAGCTATTTGGAGCTAAAATCTTCAGGACGTTGGCCCTCCAGAAACAGGATTGGACACCCCTGGCTTAGATTCACTCTTGAGCACACCGAATACATTACAGAATGATATCTGTGTGTTGTCCTACACTACTAGAAAAAATTGTACCTTTAGGAATACAACAGCTTGTCACTAGGGCGGTACCCTAAAAGGTGAGTATTAGTACTTTAGGGTAGTAATATGTACTGGTAAGGTACTACTATGAACATTTTTAGGGGTAAAAGATATTAATTTAAGGGTACTATCCCAGTGACAAGCTGTTGTACCCCTAAAGGTACGATTTTTGAACATTTTTTTCTGAGAGTGTATCCATAATGTGGTGTGGCGCTTCTGTTCTGGTGTGCAAGTAGCAAGAGCCAGGTCAGTTTGAAATGAGTGAGAATACAGAAGACTGGATGTCTGAGAACAAAACTGGACTCTTTGAAATTCTCATTGATCAGCAGTTGCTTACGTTAGAGTGTTTCAGCAAAAGTTAAAATGTTCTCTTCTTTTGGTGTCATGGTGCTCATTATCATTAGGATACCAGGAAGGGATATAGAATGATATCTTTGCTATCCGTGAAGTACCTGTCCTTTCTCTTCCTCCTTTTTCTTCTACCATGTAAGATATTCTCTGGCCCTTCCCCTAAAAGCTCTGATGTTGTCAGGGTCACAATAAGCTCAACTGGATAAGCCTCTTTGCACAGGAGTGAGAGAGCTCCCCAGATCCTTCCTCTATCTGTAGAAGTAGGGAGAGGGAGTCCCAGCAGCTTTGCAGTGGAGGGCACTGGTAGAGGGTCACTTCCATGTCAGAGTCAGAAAGTGAAATTGCACCAGTGCATCTGTCATGGCTACGTCTCCACCATAGCTACTTAATGCACTCAAGAGGCTACAGTGGAGCAGAAGAATGTAGGACACATAGTGACTCAAAGAAACACTTGCTCCCACGTTCATCCTGCTCATTCTCAGTCTCTCTGTTTTAGTCTGCTTTCTGAAGGCTAGTTCACACCACCCCAACAAACACCAGCAAACTCCAAATCCCAATACTTGTTTGGTTTTGTTGGATCAGTGGGGTAACCATGTTGTTGTTTGTTCAGGCAATGGATGTTTCCAAAAATTCTCAATGCAGCATCAAATGTTAAACTCTAGAGGTGCCACAAGTATTGCAGACATCCAGTCACTCCTTCTGACCTCAAAAGGATGGCACACCTCTTGACTGTAGACAGGAAGGAGCTTGATCTCTGACAAGCTTATCCTTCCATCGGGTGCCATTGGACATATGTCAATCAGTCAGTGACAACCCAACCTAATTGGTTCAAAGTACTCAATTCCCTCCCCACCTGCAGAAAGAGAAAAGGATTTGGTCAAAGTAGCAAACTAGTGGAGACACACCAAGACGCTACGCTGTGTGAAGCCTGGGAAAATGGTGGTAAGTCAATATTTCACCTAACCGTTAACACTGTTGTATGCTTTGGAGTGAGGACTTCTAACTTGTTTGCTCTGAACTTTCACTTTTGTGTAAAACCACCAACCAGAAGGGTTGGAAAGGAAAGTTCTATTGGTTGGGTGCAAGGAAAGCAATAGTTCTATTGGTTGGGTGCAAGCGATTGAGGCCAATGCTTGCTTCCATGGAGCCATGAGCAAACTTTAAGGGTTCTTGGAGTCAGGGAAACTCAGGGAAACAGTCTGTTGTGATGCGGGGACTATGTAGGGCAGGGTATTTGAGCTGGCTTACAAGAATAACGATAAGCTTATTATTCTAAGGCATGAACTCCATTTCAGTGCAAGGAGATAGAGAGAGGGAAAGAGAACAACACCGTGAGAGGCCATGAAAAAAATGGCAAACAGTTGGGTTTGGCATCTTCCTTGAAGGGGATGTGCAAGACCTTTAAGTACTGACCCAAGTGTGATTTGAAGAGCTGCAGTTGAGTTCTAGTCATTGTCCCGGTGGACGTAGTCGAGTAAATCAGCTTTGCAGAACTTTAACTTGCCAAGGTTTGGAAAGGGTGGTGCAGCAAAGACGGATTATCAACAATATATTGGGACTACACAGAACAGATTCTTTTTTCCTGAAGACACTGGGGACGGTCTACACATGCTTGGACGAATGGCAAATGCTTCTGGTTTGTGATGCATGGTGTATGTTAAGGCAGAAGTAATGTCGACAAAAGTAAGCTTTTACAACGCTCATTCTTTTCACGGTAGCATACAGATATCACCGCATGCTGGAAGGGAAATTGGGGACAGGATGATGCAATGTTGGCAGCAGTATTCAGACTTCTGCAATTTTAAAGTTTCCATGCTGTACGCTAGGATACAGTTTCTTTTATCCATTTATTATAGTGCCTTTGTGATACTGCACTGAATATGGCTGTTAAAGTTATGGATGCATAATACCCATATTTTTCATCTTTAAACTACAGCTTGGTTTCTCAATCAAATATACTGTTCCTACTGTACTGATGATTCAGGCACATGTAAATAACTATTATTTTGCGCATATGAAGTGAATCCTATGACGATGGTGTACTTAAATCCAGTCCAGTTTATTTTGCACATATCAAGCAAATCTTATGATGATGGTTTACTTAAACCTTGAAACTGGACCGTGTGCTTTGTTTTGAACTGGTAAGAAAGTGTCAGTACAGTATTGCTCCATTGCAAACCCATCTGCTTGCTAACCCATGTAACCAATTTCAAGACAAGAGAAGAAATGTCATAAAATGTATTAGTCAACTGATGGTGAGAAAGCAATCGTTTCCATTAAAAAGTAAAGTTTCCCAAATCATGCTAACACAAACTTTTCAATTGTGTTAGCATGATTTGGGAAACTTTACTTTTTAATGGAAACGATTGCTTTCTCACCATCAGTTGGCTGAATCTTTATTATAGAGTGAGATCACTATGCTTGGCTTGCGAATAGAGAATGTAAACTTTTTTTTTTTCTGTTTTAACTAATGTTATAACATACCAGTTTATATGTTAAAGGTTTTCTTATTGATGATGAACACCTATCTTTCTGGCCTTCGTGTTTTTACAGTATTTATGCCTTAAACTATTCCTTGCTATACTGTAAGTAGATTAACATTTCAGGAATTTAATTAGAATATAGTATCTTTAATGAGAATATAGTAGTTAATGTATACATAACAGAAAATATGCGTAATATATGTACATGTTAAATATCCCATATAAAACAGCAGCAAAATAGGATGCATTTTATGGTATTTTGTGCATTATGCAACAGCATGGAGCAATATCAAACAGAAAAAAAAGATGTCTTTTAAATATAATTTAAGCACTAGATTTTAATGTCTCTGTGTCTCCAACCAGATAAAGATTTCCTAACAGAAATATTCTCTGTCTACAGAAATAGTGCTGTTTAGATGTATGTCACTCAGGTGATTTGCTTTAGTGGAAAATGTACTGTCAGATGTTGAGCTAATATTTGTGTTTTTTTTTCTTTTCTTTTTGTCAAATTGTTGGAAAACAGGGTTTGTCTTATAGTTTTGGTTGTGTTGTAGTTCATGCTGGTTTTTATGTAACACTATGCAACTTTAAAATATCTGTATTCGTTCTTTCATTCCATTTCCTTTGTGAATAGGTAAGTGTATATTAAAGAAAAGTGATATCAATTGTTCATTTAAAGGGATAATTGACCCAAAAATGACAATTCTGTCATTGTTTAGTCACCCTTATGCTTTAGTCACCAATCTGTATGACTGACTTTCTTCTGTGGAGAAAAAAAAATAAAAAAAATATATATATATATTTTTTTTTTTACACAAGAATACACTGGTACATTTTTCTATGAAATTACAATGAATGGAGACTGAAAATTTCACAAAAGCACCATAAAAGTATAAGAAAAGTTGTCCTTATGACAATGTTTCAAGTCATTTGAAAGCTTTGTATAAGCAACAGACCCAAGTTTTAATTAATGTTCTTAACCACTGCCACCAGATCATAAATTGTGATTATCTTTGTGAACCAGATCAACTGATTTTTAAAAAAGATCTGACTCAGAAGAACGATCCATTCATGAATCAGGCATTGCAGTTTCTATCTTGAGCATCCTTTTTGAAACTTGCAAGTTTCAGTCCCCATTCAATGTAATTGCATGGAACACAATGGCTAGTGCGTTCTTTAAAATATCTCCTTTTGTGTTTTACTGAAGAAAGAAAATTATACGGTTGTGCAACGACATGAGGGTGAGCAAATGATGACAGCATTTTCATTTTTGTTGAACTACTCGTTTAAAAGAGATGTAAGAGAAAGTGTGTGAGTAAATGAATGTTGCGTATTTGCCTATATGAGTTAAATCTTGTTGACACGAGTGTGTGCGTGTGTGTCCTCTCACTGTGCTGTCCTCAGGAGATATGGATGGTCACTGGTGGGACCATGCGTCTTGGCATAGCGAGGCCTCCTCAATGTCTATGGTGAGGCTTGTGACCCTCTCACCCCATTTCCCCTCGTTTAATTCACCTCTGCATGTTTTGTTTCTCCTCCTTTTTTATATCATACATAACTTTTAGGCAACATTCAAAGGGGAAAAAGAAAAACAAATGAGCAGGCACATTTTTTGGACGCCATTTACGCTCCATCTGAAAGGCAAAAGACAGTGGTGCGATTTTGGGAGCGCTCCCACGACGAAGACGCGGAGTGGTGCGAGCCGCAGGTCAAAGATTCAGGGGTTGACACGTGCAGTAGCACCACACTTAACGAGGAGCATAGCCATAGCGACAAGGTACTGAGACGACTTCCTGCCGCCTGCCTCTCGCTTCCTGTGACTGACCTGCTCGACACGCTCACTGTCTGTTTCTGCCCCTAGAGGGTTTCCTACTCTAATCGGGCCTCTCGGAAGAGAGGAGAACCCTCTTGTTTGCTTTGCTCTACTATCTTCTGGCTGCAAAGTCGTATCGCAGCCTAACACACAGAAAGATGAATGACAAACTTCCTGGCACTGTTTGCTCCATATGCTGCATGCTTCTCGATGCGGACAGATACTCCATTCTGATTGCAAACCTGTTTTCCTCACTTGGTCACGTCACCTTTTCACGCTGTTTCCCCCTTTGGGATTTCCTGACATGATTTTTTCCACACAGTCCTTCAGTCTCAGCTTAAACACAGGGATAGACTAGTGTGGGAATCAATCTTGCACTAAGCAGTTGTTTTTCTTTTCCCCTTTTCACTGTGTCATTCTTCATGCTGTCCTTTTCAGTCTTGTCTGTTTTTTTTTTTTTTAGTTCCCCACGTCTTTCGCAGTAGTGAATAGAAGTAGCTTGCTACATCCATACTGCTTGAGGGTGTGAGAGCAATTTACTTTGCTTTTCTGGTTGATTAGTGGATTGATCTAGATCAGTGCTTCTCAACTGGTTTTGCTTCAACTTGTTCAAAAAGGGTCTTTAAATTGAAACATTTTTGCAATGCGATAATGCAACAAGAATGTAAATTTTGAGTCCCGCAACAAGTGATGGGACATTTTGTTAATTGTTTGGTTTTATTTTTGCAACCTTTGCACTACATAGTCCAGCCCACAGAAAAATTGCAATCTTATTGGTTCAAAATTCTCCACCGCATATATTAAACATTAAAGGGGTCATATGATGCGATTTCATTTTTTCCTTTCTCTTTAGAGTGTTACCTGACTGGCCGTGATTCAAATCAACAATGTTTTGCATTCAGGTTGGACAGATAATTCACAAAACACCTGGTTAGCTTTAATTAATCACACAAAACACAGTATGGTTGACACAATTTATTGTAGTTTGAGTTGTATCTTTTACTCTTTTGTAGCTTTGATCATTTTGAGGTAGAGGGTATGTTGGGAACTGTTATGTTATCATTACCTGCCCATGTTTGAATCGGTCTAATTTAACTTTGAACAAATATGTAAAGAACCAAGTGAGTGAAGATTTAAGCTAAAACCGAGGAATTTGTACAAAAAACATAAAGTTGGGTTGGATGTACAGGCTTTGACATCAGTAACAATATATGTGATGTTCTCTTTAGTTTTAAAAGTTAATTCTATTTACCTATTCTATTTCTATTTTTCATTTTATTATTTGGGTCTTTCCGCGTCCCAAAGTATTACAAACCATGACCACTACAAGTTACGCCTTCCGCAAAAGAAAAATGGCTTGTGGATGTCATTGATACAAGTATATGATATATTTATTTTATGTTTTATTTATTTATTATGTTTGTAAGATCATATTACTGTCATTTCTCATCAAGTATGAAATAACTGCTATTAGTGAAATATTCAGTTATGCACTTAAATGCAGTAGCAGAAAAGTAAAGTAAAGAGCGGTACTAGTAATGACATCAGCAATTCCTGGGGGGAGGAGCTGTGATGACAATATTCAATTGGCTGTTACTTTGTAGGGGGAGTAACTTATAGTAGACAAAACTTGTAGTGGCCATGGTTTCTAGTTCACTAGAACAGGGGTTTTCAACCTGTGGAGTGCGAGAACCTGTTAATTTAGATGCATACACTCTAGTAACTATGAATACAAGCTAGCAAATCTTTAGCCATCCTCTAGGGGGCAGTCTGATTAGTCCTACTGCTAATAAGTCGACAGTTGTGCGCTGTGATAGATTGTTTCTGTGCGCGCACACAGTAAGCCGTCTCTCAGACAGCAGGTGAATACCAAATTGAGTTCTCTTTCAGCAAATACACACAAAATTATATTTGAATGACTGTCAGTCGGTTATGTCTTTAGTGAATGTAAACAGTAAAGAAAATATCGGATGTACATCAGCATAACGGATCCGTGCATTTCTTATGTTAATAGTTTTAATCAAACCGCAAAAGAGAAATCACTCACTGCTCTTAACTAATAAGTAACTCCTGTAGCTTTAATGGATATTTGTGTGAAATTAGACAAACTTGGGCAGGCGCATGTCCTAAAAGGTTGAAAATCCCTGCTGTAGAATGCAGTCAGATACTTGGTTGCATTCAGCATTGTTTATTATAAAATAGGTCTGGCCCTTAATTATGATTGGCTAGGCAGTGTTTGAAGCCATTGTAAAATACTGCATAAACACACACCTGTGACCTCATTACATCAGTATTACTGTACAACTCCACTCCGTTACATAAAAACACCCCTCAGCTGTTCTAAATCCACTGTAAACCACTGCTTCTTGGAGCTATTACTATGTGCCCTATCCGAACAGTGTTGTGATCCACCAGTTGAGAACTGCTGATCTAGGTCACTGCTGTGAGTTGCTGTCCAGAATTGTGTGCTTGATACCTCTCACCCTGTCTTGACTATTGTGTCTGTACTTAATGAAAGCACAAACCGAACCCTATATGGTGGAAAATTACTTTGAAGACAATTAAATTCATGCTGTTAGCAAATTCCAAGATTTTGCCATAATTTCCTTACCCTCATGTCGTTCCAGACCTGTATGACTTACTTTCTTTCCTCTGTGGAACACAACAGCAGATGCACTGCAGGATGTCTAGAGAGCTCTGATTCATAATGGGGACTGGAGCTGTCAAGCTCTAACAATGGCAAAAACATGTACCAAAAAGTGGTCTATACAAACCATGTTATGTATTCCAAGTTTTCTGAAGCCATACAATAGCTCTGAGTGAGGAACACAGTTTAAGAAATGTCTGTAAAAATAGGGCCCAATGCACCATGTTAAAAGGATAAAATTTGAGTATTAATTTACTCACCCTCAGGCCATCCAAGATTTAGCTGATTTTTTTTCTTCTTCAGTGGAGTGGTAAAGAAGATTTTTAGCTGAAACTGTGGTCCTTGGTAGATTCGTAAAATGCAAGTCATATACAGGCAACCAGTGTTGGGTAAGTTACTTTCAAAAAGTAATTAATTACTAATTACATCATCAATATTGCATTTAAATTACTTTTCTAATTACTCTGTCTGAAAAGAAATTTAATTACTCAATAAGTAACTTAATTACTCAAATCTTAAAATCCTAAAAGACAATAGAAATGAAAATCTTTATTCTTTCAATTTGAGTCAAACATGGAATAGTTTAGCTTTTTATCTTTAAAACAACTGTAATACTTAAACATTTTAATTAAAAAAGTAACCTTCTTTGGTTAACTAATTACTCGGCAAAATATCTGAATAACAAATAAGCTTAAGAAAAGTTAAACATTACATGTATCAAGCTGTAAGCATTAAACTTTTCAAAGCAATGAGTACCATATTTCATACACACTGACATATTGTACATGTATTGGCAGTCACTAATACTAATTTTGTCCACTCCTAACAAAAAAAACAACAAAATGATTTTGTACTGTCATTCATGCACATATGATTTGTGTTACCACACAGTACATAAACAACATTCTGATATTTTATAAACTAAATTCTTAGTGCTTAGCACATTATAAACGTTGACATCTGATAATAGATCAGTAAACACTGATCTAAACATTCCTGGACTGTATCATTCATCATGCTGCAGTGTAAACATTCCCATTACTTTATATCTATATCGTATTATATCTCATAATAATATAAAATAAACAAAAAAATTACATCCTCGTTTCGTACGGCATTTAGCCTATATAAAAAGTTGATATTTCAAAAGTTGATAAAAAGCATATTTCACTTGCTTTCACACATTTCAGTTTGGCAAGATAGTTTAAAGTCCAACTAGTAAAATGCGTACAAGTTTATGTAAAAATAACACATTAACTAATGTAAGTAAGAATGAATTACAAAAATGATCTCCTCCACCGAATAAAGCCGAGTCAGATCGCGCTGTTCTTCAGAGGTAAATTACAGCTTATTCCTCATAGCAGGTCTTCTTCCAAAAACAATGAAAAGTAGATGAATCTTGATTTTTTTTTTTGTTATAAATTTTTTTTTTGTATCCTGGTGATGAGGGCGTTTGCTCGCATGTATGGATGCAGATAATGAGCTCTAAGAAAGGAAAGACTGTACCTCGCTTTAGTTTCATACGGATTACATAATCAGAGAATATTTGTTTTCGATTTGAATCAGTTCATTTAAAGTAGACACTTCAAGCTTTCTATAGACATATTTCTCAAGTCTGTGTGTCAAGTATTCGCCGAGTTTCGGTTCATTTTTGTGACGCGTTTCAGAAAGAAGTTCACAAAGACCAAAACGGCAGAAAGCGCAGCCTGTTTGTTTTCTTTATTTTACAAAAGCACAATGTTTTATTCTTATTGTCAGTGTACACAAATAAAAGTACTGTAGACCTTTTAAAGATTCGATTGATTTTAGTCTTATCTGTATCTGGGTATTTTAGGGTCTTTTCTCTGTCATCAGGAAAAACTGCAAGTGAACGCGCCGGCACGCAGAGGGTTAAAGAGGCTGCATTCGACAATAAATTTAGATTTCAAGTTCAATATTGATTTTAGAACTGTTGAAATTATTTACAGTATGTAACGCAAGTACTTTATACAGTAAGTAACTGTAATTAAATTACCTAAAAATGAACAGTAATCCCTTACTTTACTTTTACAGTGGATAAGTAATTTAATTACAGTAACGCGTTACACCCAACACTGCAGACAACACAAAATTCATACCTATGGCCAATGTTCCCTCTAATTGTTTTTTTCTTGCTGAGCAAAACTTTTCGACCACCTGAGCAGAAACACTCTTTAAACCAGACCTGAACAGCGCTGTAAATGTCTTGGAGTTTTGTTACCGTTCTGTGCCCATCATCCGCTATTTCCACCACTTAATCAAGCCACTCTTCTTTAAAACATGATGGCGTTTTATCTCACATGTCATTACGTTTGCGTTAGCTCTCGTGTTGAGCCATTTCATCTGCAACCATTAAAGTATTGGATTTCTAGAGCGACCGATTCAGCGCACATCATTCTCTTTGAAACCTGTAAGCCGCATTCACCGGTTACTAGAATTCAATCAAATGGCTTTCCCAACTTATTTTTGTATCTGTACTGTGCGCGGAATATTATTTCTTCTGTATGGTGGTGATGAAAGAAGTGCGTGGCCGCGCACGTGCGCAGCTTAGAGGGAACATTGCCTATGGCTCCTGATGATATAATGAGGTCTTATAAAGCGAAATGATTGGTCTGTGTGAAAAACTGAACATTATTTACCACATTATTACCTGTAATCCTGAGCCTCAGGCAAATAGTGAAGTCCAATTATTTTTTAGCGAACTGATTCTTTCGGACAGAATCATCAAGGACCACGGTTTCAGCTAAAAATCTTCTTTACTTTTCTACTGAACAAAAAACTCATCTACAGTATAACTACAGGTGTTTTACCCATGTTTTAAATACGCGTTGCATAGTGATGTGTTTTAGGGTTAAAGTAAATTTCCATAAAGTTAACAAAAAACATACTGGTAATTTTCTGCCTAGACAGTTTCCATTTCCTTGTGCAGTGCAGACCAAAATGTTATTAGCTGATCATCTTCCCCTTCCCTGCAGCTCTTAAATGTCATTCAGTTTAAATGTGGTGCAAACTTTTACACTAGTGTCAAGGGGGAAAAAGCTCAATTATATTATACATAATTGAGATCAAATTTGCCACAACATATCTTAATGCACCATATAAATTGAGTGTATATTAGATATGAGAACTACAGTGGATGAAAACATTTTCAGGCTTTTCCTTATATTAGTTTATGACATGAGATTGAGAAAATTATGAAAGGATTTTTAATTTTTTTTGAATTATTCCTTTAAATACCATAAATGTTATAGTATTTATTGATTTATAAATTTATAATGACAAGAAACACAAAAATACCCTTTTAAAGTCAGCATGAAATCAAAACAGACCCTATACTTACTTAATGTGTGTTCCTGGTCTTATTGGGAACGATTCATGTGTGCATGTTATTCCAAAGATAAAAAAAAAAGGTTTGCCTTCATAATTCATCAAAATGAAATAACCTGCTCCGCCTACAACAATGTTTGTTTTCAGCTGACATTGCAAATCTCTCTTACTCTCTCTTACAAATCTTCTCAGTAACACTTTAGAATAGGGAACACACATTCACTATTAACTAAGAGTTTTCCCTGAATAAACTCCTAATTTGCTGCTTATTGAAAGTAAGTAGGTAGTTGTTGTAGTAGTGATGTTTAGGTATGAGGTGGGGTTAAGAGATCTAGAATATGGTAATGCATTAATATGTGCTTTATAAGTGTTAATAAACAGGCAGTATGCTAGTAATATGCATGTCAATAAGCAACTAGTTAATAGTGAATAGTGTTCCTTAATCTCAAGTGTTAGCATCTTCTCTTACCAATCTTGTAACTCCATTCTGGTCATGACTCAATCACATCTCAATGGATAAAATCAAATCCCATCCTACATTTTACATTTCAGTAAACATACACTGTTTCACTCAAATATATAATTACAAAGTAAAATGGGTTGTGAATGTGTTTCATGTTGACTTGTTTTAAGTGACACCTTGGTTCGGTTTGTGTCTTCAGCAAATAAGAGTGCTCACCTCCTGCTTTAATTTCCCTGAGCCTGTGCATGTGCGTGTGTTTGTAATGTGCAGTGTGTGGATGCTTGTATAAAAAACAGAGGTGTATTGTCACTTTGACCCCGTAGCACCCGGTGACATGGCAACCATCCAAAGATGGAGAGCGCCTAATTGGGCGGATAGTGCTAAACAAGCGGATGAAAGATGGCACGGTGCCCAGAGACACGGGGGCACTGCTGGGCCTCAAGGTAAGAGATGCCCAAACACTGTCAAAGTTCACTCGAACAAAGCCATGCTAATAACCCTAGATCATAAGAGATCTTCAGCAAACCCTCCATCAACTTCATACACAATGCACAGTGTGCTTACTACAGTTTTCTCTTAATCATTTGAACTTTGACCTTAGTGTGGGCTGAATTTTGATTGAGTTCTTGGTAACACTTTATTTAAGGTGTCCTTGTTACATGTTACATGTACTTACTATTATAATAACAATTAATTATGCATAATTACATGCAAGTAACCCTAAGCCAAACCCTAATCCTAACCCTAACTCTAACCACATAGTAAGTACTAGGCTTGCCGCGATAGACGGTGCTGACGGTGATACCGGTGTTAAAGGCAGAAGAGTGAGGCGAGGTGAGAGACAAGACGATGGCGGATGATTTAGTTTTGAAACGAAATGCAAAAACGCCTGTTTGGCAATATTTTGGATTTTGAAAAACCTGTTGACTTTTGCTGTTTATCTAAGGTGATTTTGGAAGTTTTTTTTTAAACATTCGTTTCTTATTTAATTGGTTCCACAGTGTTTGCTGATTTTTACTTTATTTAAACTTTGTGTCATTTATTTATTTTATTTGACATCAAGGTGTATGCCGTGCCTCCAAGCTTTCTTACTCGTTTTGCTAATAAACGTTCTACGTTTCTTATTTATTTG